GATCCCAGGACCCTGGGATCATGACCTGAGCCGCAGGCAGACACTTAATGACTGAGCCACCCACGTGCCCCAAAAAAGTGTGATTTAATAATAACTTGATTTTGAAGACTATAAAGTGACTTATGGCTTGATTGGGATTTTTTTAAGCAATAACTACCATAAGTTACCTACTGGATCATAATAAACTTAAGTGCAGGGACTGAGTCTTCTTTGTAAATCTGGCATACAGCACAAGGCCTGGCACAGACTTCTCAGTCAAGAAAGATTTATGGAAAGAATATATGAGCCTCTAAAAATGCAGTGGAACTTGAAATATAAAATAAATAAGATTTGGTTTGGATGATGTTCCCAAAAGTGAAAGAATGGCTAGGTGTCCTCTTCTCTGTCATTTGTGAATTTCTTTCACACCAAGGCATTGTAGACATGCCAGGAATGCATGTGTTGAAGAAATAAAGCAATTTCATAAACTCAAGTGTTGTATAGGTTAATTTGAAATCATAAATTTTTGAAGTTTAATTAGAACCTAACTTGTGTGATCATAAATTTGTGTTTGGATGTTTGCCAAAATGATTTTATAACGTAAATAGGTAAATTTCAATTCATTATGTAAATGCTGTGGTTTTAGGACCCTTCATGGGAATGTGGGAGCACAGAGGAAGGCATCAAGGAGTATTCCGATTAGAGGAAGTTTGAGCTGTGTCTTAAAGGCTGATTTGGAGTTAGCCAGGTAGAGGACTGTGAGGGAGTGGGCAGTGGTGAGTACCACAGAATCACACAATTTGCAGGAGCACCGTGGCAACTGTGCTCTAGGAGGGCACCAATGTGGAAAGCACAGTGTGCAGGGGGGGTGGTGGAAGGAAAAGATACAGAGATAGGGGAGAGTGCGGTGTATTAGGAATGAAAACAATGTGGTGGTATCGGAGGGTCACCGTGGAATCAGCGTGACGGAAGATAAAGCAGGGTGTAGGAAATGGAGGTCCTTCTATGATAAGCTTCATCCTGAAGGGGCTAAAGAACACCACACTCAGATGTTCAATTATTTCTTAGGCATGTCACTGTTGATATTAGTGACTTTTAAATTTCACATTAGTGGCTGGAAAGATTAGAATGAAGAATTGAAACAACGTCAGGATTAGCTTGCAGTTGGGGAACGGATGGGGGTAGAGTTGGAGGGAGGGATACCATTTTGTATCCATTTATTTTTAATTGAAGTAGAAACAGTTTTGGGGCAGAGAGCGAGGGGAGAAGGTTTCTTCTCTGACATAAGTGAAATGGATAGGAAACCAGTCTGAGTCATATTTTGGAATATTAGAAAAGGGGATCAAGAAAAAAGTTTAATTACTGAAAAATACGCTCTTGAAAATTTTTTTGACAGATCGCTTTAAATATCATATTGTTAAGCAGATCTTCTCTGGAGGAGACCAAACTTTTGTACTTTGCTCCAAATATGAGGTAAAAAATTCTTCCGACTATTATTTTGGGGGTGGAATAATGGTGAACCAGTATTTATTTTAATAAATAATTACATGAGAGCAATATTACTCTGTTTCTACCAATTTTATCTTATTAAGGTAAGCCAACTGGACCTGGAAGACGTTCTCTCCATTTTGCTTTCTTGAAGTGCCAATAACTTCCCTGGTATTTTAATCATAGTTCTAATTTATAATTTAAAATTATTTGTTTATGTCTACATTTGTTCCAAAAGATACTTAAGGAGGCCTAGAGAATTTGCACTTAGTTTGGCATTATTTGACTTTCCCTTTCTTCCCCATTAGGTAGCAACAAATACTAGGTACTTGAGAACTTAGTGGGTTTGTTTGATGTGATTGAGTATATAGTAAATATAAAAGAGATGATGCAGTTTTCAGATATCCTTTATTATTTATCATCTGCTCATAGCACCACACTAAAATTTCACATTGTCTCCGGTGTCACTGTAGTGGGTAAGTCAGAAAGAATGACGTTCCGGTATCTTTCAGGGTTAAAGGTAGAGGAGCCTGTGGTCCAGGTAATCTGTGACAGAGCTGTAATCCCTCCCCTCCTCCTGGACAAGGGAAATCATTCTGAAACCTGGGACACAGATTTGTTTTCTGCCCTCCACTCCCTACCTGGCTTTTGTGCTTCCTCTCCCCTCCCCTCCCCTCCGCCCACCCATTTTTACTCAACCAGCATGTAGGAAGGACCAACCATATGTGGCGCATAGATCTTTATCCTCTCTGGAAGAGCAGGGAAAGGCTGTTTGTGATGATAGAGGAATCAGAATTGGTTGGGAAGAAAATAGGAACTGTGGAGACAAGGGGCCCCTTTGAGTCCTGGAAATTCTCCCCATTCATCTGATACTCTGCCATCTTTAAATACACAATGTTCTTGCCTTCTAGTCAGTATAATTCCGTGATTTGGTAGAAGAGGTTGTGCTGGAGCCCGAGGCTGCAGGTTGGACAGTGGAAACTGACAACTAGATATTTTCCAGGTCAGGAGCCTGGAGAAAGTTCTGTTTAGTGCTGCCATCTGGGGTGATTTGGAACTGCTGCTTTAGACCTATTTTAGGCCCAGCTTCAGTGCTTCACAGAGAAATCTTGAGGAAGACCAAGATTATTTTTCGTTTCTTCAAAATGCCAGTGAAATGAAACATGAAAAGCACTGAATCTCTGCAGGATGGTAACTTTGTCCATAAGTAGAGTTTGAAGTATTCATTTCCCTAAGAAATTGACTTGAATAATATTATCCAATTTTAATTTTCCTATGAAAGCCAATATGGTATCTGGTCTAAGTGATGGGATTTAAAATTATTGTAATTAGCACTGTTGGGACTGGAAAAGAAAACATTGATGAAAAGGATATAAAATAATGTCATATTAGGGGCGCCTGGGTGGCTCAGTTGGTTAAGCGACTGCCTTCGGCTCAGGTCATGATCCTGGAATCCCGGGATCGAGTCCCACGTCGGGCTCCCTGCTCGGCA